AGATATTTTTTAATTTTTTTTAAAAATAAAAATCCCTACAAGACCCAACAAAATGAAAAAAATTCTTTATAAAATTTCATGAAAAAAAAACTTTCTATCCTGTCTCACAAAAAAAAATATTCCTCTGTGCTCCATTCCGTGACAGGAAAAATTAGGACAAATTGTCATCCTTACTGAAGTAATTCTCACCAAACACGTGTCTACCTCTTTTACACAAGTTTATCGCCAAAAGGTACCCGTTTGCCCTTTAACTTTTTGAATTTGAGGCATTTTACCCTTTATATTACAATATATGAATTTTTACTTTTTTTATTTTCGAGTTTAAAGAAATAAGGTAAAATTTAACATCAAAAGGTCACATGCAACACGTGCATCGTTACCTCCGTCATACATTTACATGTCAGCGCCATTTGAATTTTTTTGACATGTTGGCAAGTCTAGCTTGGACCCACCCCAACACTTTTTTTTTTTTTTGTTCCTCCTTTTCCTCTTTCCCTTTCCCTTTCCTCCTCGCTTTCTTCAATCTCTGCAAACCCTAACATCTCAACCAACCTCTGCCCTTGCTGCCCATAGAAAAACCCGCGCCTAGGTTCCATTGAATCTAGGCGTGCTGGGTTCGATGGGACCCGCACTTGGGTTCCATCAAAGAACCCAAGCGTTGGGTTCCAAGGCTTGCTGGGTTTGATGCTATTGGGTTCCAAAGGGAGAAAGGGAAAGGGAAGGAAAAAAAAAAAAAGAAAAGAATTTTTTATTTTTTGTCATATTTTTTTTCCATGTCATTATTGTAAGTCAATAAATAGGATCCACGAGTTCAAATGGTTGATGATATGGTGCTGACATGTAAATGTATGACAGAGGTAATGATGCACATGTTGCACGTGACATTTTGACGTTAAATTTTACCTTATTTCCTTAAACTCGAAAATAAAAAGAGTAAAAATTCATATATTGTAACATGAAGGGTAAAACGTTTCAAATTCAAAAAGTTAAAAGGCAAACGGGTATTTTTTGCCCAAGTTTATGTATTTCATTCCTTTATATAATTTTTTTATTTGTTTTTAATAAATTTAATTTAATTTTTTAATTTTAATTAAATAAAAATAATTAACAAAAATTATATATA